AAATCGAGCTGCATGCTTGTGGCTTTACGCTTCAGTGGCTTTTCTGTATACTGGAATCGACTCCGACATTGGCGGCATTGTCCATTTTCGCTTGCAAGATTAGGCCGGGGGGGGAGAGCGAGGGAACGCAAACTCGAATCCACCTCAGCCACCTTCATTACCTGTCTTGGACATTCAATTACGACAATGGTGGGAGGTACTTGATGACGTTCATGGATAGAGTGGATTTTAGACCGACGACCTTCGTTGCCCGTGGTGGGAGAAAGCTGCCGACGCATGCTTTATGTCGTTATACCGACGTACTAGCGTCCGCCTGCGACATCAAGACCTGTGTTCTATCACCAGAGATGGGAATGGAGCTCTACAGACAGTCACTTGAGAATGCCTCCTCGCTTTCAGTCCCTGTCATAGGCGACGAACATCTGGCTGCAAAACTCAGCCCGATCAAGATTCAGAACGTGCCCCGTAAAACTTCACAAGAGGCCGTTTTTACTCACATTACCGGACTCGTCATTGATATCGCTCACTTTGACGACTATGTCGACGAGCGGGTCATCGCCATATTTCTCTCTTCATTTCCCAAACTCGAGGTCCTCTGGATTCTTAAATCTGCACTTCCATTTGGCAGACCTGGCAATGACTTGGATCACGAACACTTTTTGCGCGCGCTTCTTCCTATTCACTCGCCAACGCGGAGGGACGGAGAACCACAGATAATACTGCCTCATCTGAGAGCTCTTGGGCTTGATATCGACCTCAAGAATGATCGGTGCATATCTACCATCGTTAGCACCCTTCAAAAACGCGGTGGAGAGGCAATGCTGACCAGAGGGAGACTGATCCTGCCTCGAATTGGCCCTCAACAAGGAAGGTGGTGGGATGCACTGTGGGGTTTACTTCGCGATGTATGTTGGGGGGGTTGAAGGATTACAATGGAATTAGGACTGTGAGAGTCGCATAAAATCCGGTTAGACCATCCAACATGACCGTATGTAAACTGACATGTATGTAAGGTGCTTTACACTCACGTGGACATGAGCTGCAACTGCTGTTTTTGATCAGTGACTCAATTTCTACCTCAGAAAAACGAGGATTTGCCGCAACGTTCCATTTACAACGCACTCATACTAAAACATTGATACTTTTTGGAAATGAGAGCGGTGGGGAGAGGGAGACAAATACGCGCTTTCTCTTGGGCCAGAGCCATGCACGACGAAAGTTGGACCTTGAGCTACATCCAAGAACCCTAGCTAAGCCTACTTCATTTCATCACGGAGAACAAGAATAGCAGAACGCAGTCTATGGGGATGTAAATCTGTTTACAAGTGGATGACAGCGAGGAGAACGAGTGTCATGAGTTGAATATACAGGCTGAGGAGGCTGAATGGAGGGGCGACACACATCCGTGTTGTTGGCGCGCACGGACATAGCACGCTTTCCACGTATATCCCCACATCCCCGCCCAGACATGGATCTCCTGCGACACGTATTAATGGCACAGATCTCCTCCTGCCCGTTCGAGTAAGCCATTCTTTCCTGATCCAGTCTTACACCCAGTCAATGCATTCTCGACTGGGGTCCTGTGCGGTCTCCGGCTGATCAGTCCTCTTTTCCAGCAACCGGCGGCATACGGTATATGTTATTCCTCATACGGCACACATCCCAACTCATTTACGTAGGATTGGATCCCTATCCTCACTGGCATAGATCCAACTCTCACCCTTCTTTCGTTGTGTGCATGAGGGCATGGCCTCACTCAACCCACACTGTACCCGATCGAGACACCCGTATGGCACTTACATGTCTCCTACCTTTACCGGTATCGCGCCCGACATGGCAATCATCGTTTGACTTTGGTAGAAAGGGTCTGCGAGATGATTATCCTCTGAAGCCGCTCTGTACCCAATCAATCCGTGACTCACAACACTGGCCTCTTGCGCCGCCGCTACAACGTCTGCAAACGACCCAAAACCCCTTCCATCACTGAATCAAGTTCTCTGCCTCCCAAATCATGACATATCTGTAACAGCAAACTCCTAATTCACACATAAATGCATACGAGGGAATCCAGATGCCATTTAGTACGGACTGTGAGGGCTGCCTTTGCACGTCGCAGCCAGTCGCCAGCGAGATCGGTCCTGAAGTCTGAAACTCAAAGGTCACATTGGAGCAGTCGTTAGCTGGGTAATGCCGGCTCCGTGGCGGACACCTTTGCGAACATCATAACCGGATGCACATTAGAGCAGTAGATACGCACTTCTGAGCGGTAAATTGGGGATCAAGAGGATGAACGATGCCGTCCACTGGAGATTGTCACCGGAGCAAGCACGTGGCCGATTTAGCGTGCGGTCCCATTCCAGCCAGTTCTTTGAACGGGACCTGTTGGTGGTCAAGTACTCCTAGTGAGACAGAACAACTCGACGACGGCTTGTGAGATGCCGCAAGCCTGTGCGGCTTGCGCGTGCGCTTGCGAAGCACACGAAAGGTCATAGTAGTTGGTAGGAACGCTCTGCTGCGAGCATGACGCCTTGCAAGCGAAAGACTTCTGATCAGAAACACTCTGTCGCTCACGTGTGTGGGTATGGAATATTAGCAAGCGACTGCATGGCTGCCATCTATTCGTGAGTCCGTAACATACGGACTCAAGACATCAGTTCAATCATTGATCATCCGATCAACGGAGTCGCTGCAAAATGAACAAGGGACCTTGTGTGATGATTGACCCCTCGTCCGCACCGAGGGTGCCGTCAGCATTAGAGAGAATTCCCAACGCCGAAATCGAGCCTCTGCGGGGGTGAACTCTTCGAATGATGGCCATCAGGCGGCTTGTTGATCGACGCGTCCTGCCAGGGTCGACTCGCTTGGTCTCCCTATGCCGCCCGCCTCGTCTTTCGTCAAAAAAATCATATGCGCAGAGCCGCGCAGGTGTACCGAATACGATGGCGAGCCTCTGGGGCTGGCGGGTGGACGGGGTCGCGTGGACGAGGCGAACGGCGTGGCGAGCCCGATCGCTGTGGCGCCGTGGAGCAAATCACCTCTTCAGGCTCTTCGCGAAGAGGGCCGAATTCGCGTTGGGAATACTCTCTATTGCCACAGTTTTAGCGCATTCGCTTTGGTCTTGCCTCGTGTTTCAGCCCCTGCACACGCAAAAGCTGGAAGCAAGGAGGTCATTCATGCCAATCAAGAAGGCGGGAGGCAGGCGAGTTTGCAAATCAATGACCTGTTGAAAATAGAGACATTCCGCACACGGTAATTTGGCCGTTCGCTCACTCAGTCGTGGTGCGGGTTGGAACGTCAGCTCGACGGTCACTCGGACCTCATAAGCCGCTGAAGCTTGCGCGAGCGGCCATTTTCGAGGCCATCGCAGACAGTGGTGGAGCGTCCGCAGTCGCTCTTCGTTCAGTCGATCTGAGCTCAACACCGTGTGCGGAATGTCTCTACTGTCGCAATATGTCCGTATATTCGTACTTAGACGGCAATCAAAGCCCGTCAAAAAGTGAAGCCTTGTCTTTTTAGGCCTTCAAAGCTTACGCGCAACGGTGTGTGCAGGGCTGCAGGGACGAGGATTATTGAGACACGCAGCGAACTCCGGTTTTATCTATCTTGAAGGACTGGGCGCGGTATCAATTCGGATTCAATCCCTTATATACCTTGTTTCCGGTTTCTCGTAGATAATGGCGGCGGACACAAGCCAGAATCATGGACAAGCGATGTGCTGCTGCTAATATCGATGCACGGAGCGGATACATGCTCAACAGAGATGTGGGGGCGAAGAGACTCTCCCGATGATCACCCAGTGGTGATGCTATGGGGGATCAAAGCCTCGATGCGTCTCTCGCGCGAAAGCACTAGGTCGAGTGAATTTCAAGCAAACGATGCAGCCCACGCTCGGCGTCTAAGCCATGAGAGGCAAATTTCACTTGTGTGCTTTCGCTCACAACCTCCATCTCACACGCACAGCTCCCAGCTGTGATCCCTCTCATCGTCCGACTAGCGTAGTTTGGGTGTGATCGGTGAGTTTTGGCACTACACTAGCGCATAAGGCGCGATTGGTGCGAGGCCGCGGCTGGCCCACGGCCCATTGCAATGCAGAAGCGCGCCCCTCCCGCTCAAGCAATCGGGAACGATACCACGACACTGTATGCACCGCTCAGAGACAATGATACGTGTTAATGAAGTCACGCACTCCTGCTCATGATGTCAATAGGCTTCTTTGTTGTGGTTCGACATCAATCGGGAGTCTTCACGGTCGGTACGACGTTCCGGCATCTGATGCATACCCGCACACACTTCCACATCCCCTCCCAAGCGCAGGATAATGTGAGTTTGAACGATCACAAGTGCTACGCGTACCTTGTTCGAGTATCTTCATTCGTACGTTGTGGTTTAGAATGCCGCAGGTGCCTTTAAAATGCTCATCCTCTTGTACTCTTGTACCACATGATAGATGGCTATCTACGCTACAATCGGCTCTCTATCACGTGTTCTTCGTGTTGTCTGCCGTGCGGAGCAAGTGACGCTTGACCACCGTTTCTGTACCCATCTGCAGAGTTCCCGAAGGCTCCCGAAGCTCTTGATCGTGCGGATCTGGGGATTTCGCTAAACCGTCCGCGTGTGCCTCGGCGGCAGTCCCTGAAAACGTCATGCCGCACTCTTCGCCGCCGTCGGGGTTCGAAACCGAGATCGGGTCATCATCGCTCGACTCCTCGTATTCTTTCTCAATCCCTCGCGCACGCCCGCGTTCCCCGCAGTACCAGGTGTTTTCACACTCCGGCGCCATGGATGATCGCAACCACGGGATCACCCGAGCCGAGGCCGGAGATGAGCGAATCCAAAGTTCGGGTTGTGAGATATCTTGCCCGTTCGTGGGCATGAGGTTATTGATTGTCATTCCATGAACGCGAGTGCACCTTGGCCTCAATCTTCAGGGCTATAAACCACACCCACCCATCCCCTTATCATCACACCAGCCGGGCGTGGATCACGAACAGTCACAGAATATGGCCGCACCTGACGTACTCGCTGTCGCTCAACAGTGCATGGATCCCGTACAAATGTCAGGTGATGCCGATGAGCCGGTATGTGCACCTATAGTTCATGTTTCAAAGCGACCTTCCTGACATATCCCAAACGCTTCAGGCCTGTCCCTTCTGTGGTCAGATTTCCTACAGTCTCACCGCCCTCGAAGAGCACGTTGGAGACAATCACAATACACCCACCGTGCAACTGCAGGTCCTCGCCAACGGTTCACGGTCCCTGCTTGCCTTTGCTGAGCTCGGCAATGTGGCCCATCCTGCGTCCGGTCAGCCGCCCCATGCCGCAGATCTAGGGTTCAGGAACTTTGCTATCGATCCTGCCCTATTGATGTCATCTGAGGCTGTCGGTGGACCTGCCTTTGAAGCGTCCGGCTCTTCTTGCTCTGGCAGGGTACCCGCCTCACGCGCTAGCTCTGGGAGTATTCTCAGGCACCACACGAACACATTCCCTCCTGAGCAACCACTTCAGTCTCAGTTCGCCATCGCTAACCCTGCGTTGACGCCGGGAGGGAATATAGCAGTGAAAGCGCCAAAAGCGGACTTGCGTGAGCCGCGCAACGACGTCTGTTGTCTGGCCTTTGAAAATGACGATCGCAATGGCTCGGGTCATGGACAAGGTGAGGGCGAGGGCGATGGGGGAAGGAAATGCAAGGGGGACGTTGAAAGGCGAAGACGTAGGAAGGGCGAGGGCGTGTTCGTTAAAATGGAATTGGATCTGTGCTCGGACGTGAACAAAGGAAAGGGCAGGGAGACTGGAGAGGGAGAAGGAGAGAAACTGGTACAGGGTCAGGAAGAGAGGAAGGGACTGCAACTACGGCACGAGAAGAGAGAGAGCGATGGAGAGGGGAAGTGGGAGGGGGAGGGAGAGGGAGAGGGAGAGGGAGAGAACATGAACGTCGACGTGGAGACAGCTGATAAGCGTGTGGGTGTTGCTGAAGGTGAGGGCCACCAATATAGTCTTGATGAGCCCTACCTAGGCGTTGAAATTAATGGGCTTCTATACATCGCCCGCGGCGTCTGCCAGGTCACTTACCCGCCCCCTCGCGAAAAGCACCGCTGTCCTCGCAATGGCTGCCACAAGACCTTCCGACAAGGTCACGGGCTTGCCTATCACCTTTTACACGCAAGGCATGACGACGAAGAGCGCAACTGGTACAGCTGCACCTGCGAGAAATCGTACACAACTCTCAGGACCCTCAAACGTCATATGCAGGCCACGCCATCTTTCCACGCCGTTGAAGCAAATTTCGCCGTAGTCGAAGGGCGTCATCCTTTGTTGACTGCCTCTTGGCTCAGAAAGGTCGAGAAAAAGCTGCTGACGGACGCTTCAGAACAATGGCTGAGGCAGTTTTTTATCCGGCGTCCTTTGTGAGATCTCCCTCCCCCGGAGAAGCCCCGCTTCCTGCCAATAGCCACTCATTTCGCGTGGCTCAGCACAAGATGAAGCCACGTGAGCATATACATTCTTTGTCACCTTTGCCTGTATGGAAACTACCTGGCCTCGAGAGTACGCAATGAACATTTCGGCTTGCGCGGCGAGCTTACGAGCTTGACTTTGAACGGAATTGGGAGATGTGAATCTGAGTGAAAATCACGTTGTTTAATTTTTTGGTCCTACAGTAGTACCCTGGAATTGTAGCAGTCATACAGTTGGATGCGGCTGACGGCCCGTGTCTCGCGTGAGAATGAGCTATCCGGGGACGACAGCCCTCCAGGTTGGTAAGGGGACGAGGGTGGTGATACTACTACTACTAATACTACTGCTACTAGTACCACCACCGCTTCTGCTGCTTCTGCTGCTCCTGCTACGACTACTGCGACTACTATTATCACACCTACTATGACAACGAGCACTATTGGAAGTATTACCACTGCAACTACTTAAACCTACCGGAGCATGCGCACTACTGTATCTGACATAGCGACATTGCTTGCCCTCTGAATACATCAATGCCTCATTGAAAGTATGTCGTATGCTTAATTGTTTAGCGTGAGTCGATAACTACAGTACATAGGGTGTCTGCAAGCGCACAATGGCGGCACCTCGATTATTTGGAGATTCAAAAGTCGAGCCAGTAATAAATGTCCCAGTCCCCATCGTACGCTTTATAAAGGCCTTAGATGATTGCTATACAAAATACTTGATAGTCAAAGCTTAGAACAGAACCATACAGGAATACACGACGTGCCGATAGACGCAAAGATCACCACAATGTTCTGTGAGCATCGGATCCAGGAGAGCGCCGCTCGTCGTTTTTTCTAGGCCACTAGACAAGTTGGGGACATCAACTTTTGGTGTTATCAAAAATGACTTAAATATCCATACAACATGAACCGCTGGCCAAATACGGCCACAAGCGAATGAAAACAGCTCGCACGATTAGTATGCACGCAGCGCACCAGTTTTGGTGGAATTCGATCCAAAATACTTGATTTAGTTAACACCGAAAGTTGAAATTCTGGCGTTCTCCCAACTTGTCTATTCCTGCTCCATATATTGCCCATTCAAGCAGCAGTTCATTGCAGTGGCAAGACTTCATCAAATGGGGGAATGAACTGAGGCTGTAACACGAAGACTGATACGCTGCCTGTGATGGGGCCGCAGCAAAAGCCGCGGTAAATGCCCCTTGCGCTGGAGCGTGGCTCACACGTGCACTGAAGGGGGGGAGACATCTATATACCGCGTCTTGTAAGTACGACAAATTGCGGTTGTGAACCACTGGTCGTAGCCTACAGGTCATCTGGGGGTGTTGTATGATAGGAGGTATACGAGGTATCGTAGGAGGACTTGGCACTGAAGGAACTCGTACAGTAAATTTCCAGTACGAGGCGTATGAAGTGATGAAAAGATCTAAGGTCAAACACAATGGGCATGACGGGCATAGTTAAAAGCATAAACTGAACGAAATCGATGTGGGCTCGGGACCTTAGGCCTTAGGGTTCATCGACGGGCTCGGAGGGAGACTTGACAAAAGCGCGCGAGGTGGCGATGAACTTGGCGAGGGCCTCGAGACCACTACGAGTGTCGAGGATGATCGCGGAGGAAATGTTGGGCGAGACTGCACGGAGGGAAATGTCTTCCAAGCTCGTACAAAGGGCAGTCTGCGAGGATGTGCTCGCGGGTTTGGACGGGTGGCTCGCCACACGGACAAGCCGTGACTTCGGTTGGAACGAAGCGCGCGTAGTAATTGCCGCGAAAACCGTGACCGGTGATTGTTTGAATGATGCGTGCACAAGCGTCGCGCGGTGCAGAGAAATGGCCGTGGAAGGGTGAGAGGGTGGTCGATGGTGGCATGTCGCCCAGCGCAATCGCGGCGCCATTCGCGAACGGCTGAACGTTTGACCCGTTCGCGCGCCCATGAGATTGCTGAATGCATGGCAGGCGCACCGCGATTGTCTGCGCCTCGCTTCGCTTCTTCATCTGCCCGTTCGTTGCCACGTGCACTAAACTCCGAACAGAGCATACAGCACTTCTGTTCTTATTTTCCCCCAGTAAAAACACGCATGAGCTATGTTGATAGGTAGATATCATCTACTACATGCCCTAACAGATTACTTGGGGATGCTACGGTTTCCGCCTGGCAGGCGAAACCCGCGAAAGTAAAAATTGCCGCCAGGTGAATGTTGGCTGAGTTCCGTCCGGGCGGCATCCATACAGCACTACCCAGATCCGGCCTATCCAAGCTGGATAAATAAGTGACTTCCCGTACGCCTTACAATGATGTATTATTACAGGGACTCAAATTCCATTACGGATCACTATACAGTCAGGACGACGTGTCGCCCAATCCTAAACCCTCGCAAATCGTCACCTCCACGTGGAACCACGCAGCAGCTCAAAGGCCACCCGTCGAGGTCCTTACAGCGACTCCGTTACAGGCAGATTACTGGCCTTCGTAATACGGCCTCGGTTAATCTCTTCCCCCCTATGTCAAGCTTTCACCACTTGTCCGCTAGAGCTGCAGTCGTTGTCTGTGGGTCTGCACGCCGCATCTGGGAAAGTGACAAATCAAGATGACATGTTCATGGCCCCGATTGTAGAACCCCACACAGAGAACACTTATAACATATGCCCATTAGAAGCCATGGAACGAGACCCGTGCGATAATCCAAACATATTGGTGGCTACCCCAGTGTGTGAGGTTGCAGTGCCAAAAACGTGACCAAACCTCGTATACTAGCTCTCGCCACCAACACGACCGCATGACGGACCATGTCCTTCTTGATAATTATGTCAAAAATATATAGCACTAGAGTGTGTATGTCCGCTCTCGAGAGAATCTGTCTGATAATCCGGGATGTCGACCCCTTGAAAATCCAGACAGTTTTAATGCCGTGGCTATTCCCAGGATGCATACATGTTTTATTGAGATGTGAATGAGCACTTTGCGCTCCAGCATGTGCGTGTCCCGTACAACTGCAATTTCAAGACCAGAAGTTTGTAACGCGTAACATGCCGTCCCAAAACGAATGTCTGGTAGGTTCGGTAACGGATAACGCGCGGGGGGCGAACCAAAAAGCGTTACCGGCGTACCGGGCTGGATGGGCCGACGCGCCCGCAGACAGCCTTTTCCCGCATCGCGATGTTAGCCGTAACGCAACGCGGAGACCTACGAACCTACTTCGGGCGAACCTCGAAGCGTGTAGCGTGTAACGCTTTGAGGGCCCGAACTTCTGGTCGTAAGATGACAGTGTTCTCTCTCTAGACTGCCTCTTTCTCGTACATGATGTTCTCCACTGCGTGTATATCGCTTTTTTGTGTTTGAACGTACTTCACAGATCTGCGCCGGCTACCGTGTCTGACACCGTCATTTGCCTCGTGTGTTATTCGAAAGATGGTGTACACAGTTTGAAACAGAAAGCGACTCCCAAACAAACAATTTCAAGAGCTACGTGAGCATCGAGCAAAACGGTCGGAAATGCGCACCGTTGTCGCGTCTAGCGGTGTATACGACGTTGGTCTTCGGCTATGTGTCCGAAAAACGTTTACGACAAATTGCTGGCAAGCTCCATGTCATCTGCGTATACTCCGTGGGACATGTCAGTGCTTAGCTACGCAGGATGCAGCTACCACGAGCGTATGGGTCGAGGTGCGAACTCAGCCTCTTGCCGAGCTGCCAATTTCATGAGTATGGCACCATGCAATGCTCCGGAGATGCTCTGCACCACTCCAATCCCCATGTGCGAAGTCTTTCTATCTGAGCGATAGTCTCTAGTATCGTAATCCCTTCATAAAGGAGTGAAGTGCCCCATCAATACTTGGGTAGTATTTCCTGTGTACGTCGCATGATGTCACTTGGAGAGGCGGAAAAGGCGAGCAGTGCGGCGGGCGGGGGGGGCATGGAAAGCTGACGGTCCAGTGACGTACATACTACCACCGCCCGCCGTGCTTTGTGATATCGTTCTCATGCCAGCAAGGGCCATTTAGCCGCTCGTTTACCCATGCTATACATAGCCCTTATCAAGATTAATCCGGTGCGGTGATCGACTAGAGTCAATACCCTTTAGGGCTAGACTACTCGACGTGATGAATGTAAGGTTCAGCATTCATTAGAATCCATTCCCGGCAGGTGTCATACTGCATCGACTTCGAAAGCTCCCACAGCAATGCTTGGCGTTGCCTCGTGTTTCTTACGCGGCAAAACTCCAACATTCGCTTCGCTGAGCAGACTACTTCTCGCGTCATGATTCATACTGTCAGAAAGCTGCACGGGTGTACTATTTCATGCCGCGTCAAGAATGGACGGGACGTATGTATGCGCTTACTTATTTAAGAGTCAATGCCAAAGTTGAGGGCGGCACGCAGCATGTCAGATGATCGACACCGGTGACAGACTACCGTTTGAACTCGGGGAACGGTTCCTGACCACATGAGCATCGGAAAAAAATGCATTGCGCTCCCGTCTGACACATGTCTTGGAAACAGGGGCTGGATACCTAAGATGCTTGCTTGCTTCTGATACGATGCAATATAGAGGTTCTCACTCCCAATGTCGATCTTGGGAAAGTCACATTATCCTTATTATTTCTTGTGACATAAGGCCTTCCGGGTGTCCCTTTGTGGCCATTGCTACTCACCAATTCTGAAGCTTGAAGCTCAACGGGCAGATGTGTACAGCACCTTGCGAAAGTCTTGCAAAAGTCGTCTCGACGCGCCTGCACAACCAAATTCCCCAGAAGGCAAATCATCCCTATGACGCCATATGCCTGCAAAACCTCCCTTATCTCCCACCTCAGAACTGTCTGTGTGGCGCCCTTATAGGCTAGTATGCAGTCAATCACATTTTCTAAATTCTTTGAGCAGAAGAGCACGCACAAAATAGAATCATTCCGCAAGCAATGTTCTCGCTGCTCAGTCGAAGCGTTGCTTGGGTATTTGCTCCGACCTTCTAGACTGCTTTTGCACAACTTTACAGGCTTGTCCAGGAACGTCACAAATACTTGTGGAGCACCCGCAGTCACTCTTTAGTCGGTCAAAATGAGTTGGGCATTGTCTGCACATTATCCCGGGCTTGTCCATCATTATTCTTGCTACGGACGTCTCAGGGCTGTTTTTGTGGACTTGTAATTCGTCACATTGAGAAAATAAAAATAGTCCGGTCCAGACGTCACACATGACGTCCTACCGGCTAAGCTGATTAACCTGCCTAACAAACGGCGACATAAGCTGCCCAGTTTGCACCAGCTACAGACGTGTCCAACTCTCAAATAGAGTGAAAGTGCTTGGAATGTTGTACACTATGTGGGACTCGCTGTGAGACCACATCACCAGCATTGGGAAGACAGCAAAAATGGTTTTCACTCATTACACTCTATCTCTCCACTCAGGTCATTGTGATGTGCTCGACAGCTCACTGGAAGGTGATGTGCTCAAAGGCTCACTGGAAGAGTGGTGTGCCAAAGTTGTCAGCCCCGAGTGCGTGCCTATATCAATGGAGCACCTTCCCATGTGCAGTCCTACAGCTCACAAACTTTCCGTCTTTACATGAGCGGACCAAACTCCTGTATGGATTGACCTCTGCATTATATAGCTGATGGCCATCATTGCACCTGCAGTATTGAAGCGCTACTGTAACTGGTGCCCGGCGGCCATCAGCAATTTGGGAAGCGGTCTGAAGCGCCGTGTGGGTGTCTGAAGCGATCTAAAGGCTCTGAGGGCCATGTGAGCCCAGAGCTTTAAGCGAGCCTTCAGACGTTTCAGGGCCGTCAGACCGCCTCAGAGTCCCTCAGACGCCGTCAGACCACTTCCCTAAAGCCTTGATGCGGAGCACAAGGCAGTGAGCTTTCCAACTTTCTTGAAAATTCAGTGTATCATAGCCTCTATGGGAGTCGAAGCCATGTGCGTAAATCAAGAAATGGACCTATATCTACAGGTGCTACCATGCCAATGTCACCAGCCAGGGTGGTGGGTCTTCCTGTCACATAAATCAAATTGTGGTTCCAAAGATATCACGGACATCATCTTTCGAGATCCTCAAATTACCTACCGGCTTTCTCTCATCCGTTGCTTTGAGCCCAAACACGACGGGACAAGAAATACACTGTGATAGTTCCATGCCATGTCACCAGTCCCATGCGAACAAGTCAATGCACGGACTCCACCGCAGAGCATGTTTATACAATGTAACGGACATGTGGAAAACTTTCGCAATCATGTGCACTCCAGTAATTCATTGAGTGAACACACTAGTCAGACAGCCATAGTTCCGGTGCACGATCTCATCGGCTTCTTGAACCAATATGTACCAAAAGAAATTGTCTCTATATAATATGAACAGTCAACTTACTAGGCTTTTCTCCTGACAGCCATCATGAGTTGCTTCTCGATTCAAGATGACTTGATCGTCGATCATGCATCGGCTCGCACACCTGCATTAGTAGTTGTGTCTCCGCCACCTTCCTCATTGCCATTACCGTCTCGATCTCCATCGCCATCGCCATCGCCATCGCCATCGCCATCACCATCCATTATTCTGTACAACTCCTCGGACACTGCTCCCAACCCAATCCCGTCAGCTCCCATCAACCTTAGCCCACTTGAAACGGAGACTATAGGGATTAAATCTACCTTTGTATCAGTCACCCCATCCCAGCCACTTACCACACCTATCGTTCAGTTCCTCCCGCCTAGGGCAGCACGTGTTGATACACCTGCACTCCCTCAAGTCCTTCCTGACCCACCAGGCCTCGCCAATATTAGAACCATTTCCGACAATCCACACATCATGAGGCTCTTTTTGTCCACTAACTGCGACGACTATGGTGGCCACCAAGGTGCTCTCTGGCAGCTCACCAACATTGGAAATACGCGCATTGGCCATGGCATCACTGTTGTTCATCGTGTCTGCAACGATATTGAATGCTATGCCAACATTGACCAGTTCATTGCGCGAGGCCCCAAAGATGCGCTCTTCCAGATTCGGATTACAGGATGGCAGACACCTGCTGGCTACTATCAAGCCATGAAACCCATCAACTCATACCTTCTTGCTCCCCTCATCCGCTGCGAGTTGAAGTTCTCTGATAGTCAGTGGCAGTATCTCGAATATCCATTCCGCCTCCTTCACCACACACTTGAGGCTATAAAGCACATCCACTGCTTTCTCAATGGTGATGACGCCATTGTACTTCCACGCGGCGACTATATCACCGCAGTAATCCTTTCGGGCTATAACCGGACCCCTGCCCTCATATCCTTTGAACCAGGAGTGAGCATTGGTACCGTAGTAGCCGTAAATGACTTGGAGGTTCCAGTTGGTGACGGTATCGTGCTGCCTCAAGTTAACGGTTTCTATGTCAAGCGGGAGGTAGTAAACTGCAATGTCACCACTGTAGCCAATGTCTTACTCACCACCATAGTACAGACCCCAAACCACTCCTAGTGCGCACCAATCCGACCGCCAGTGCACCCGATCTCTCATAAATCCACTGCTTCGGTGTAGTGCAAAGACCGATTTGTACGAGTTGTGGAAGGCTCCCATTGTCAGGCAGGCAGGAAGAAGAGTTGAAGCACAGTTTCTTTCACCGCGAAGTTGCTTTTATTTGGTTTGATGCTTATCTACCACTCGACACCTTCGTTATTCTCCCTGAGTTGTCTGAATAACAGTCTTTCTGTTTACCCACCTCATCTGTCATATGTAGTACATATGCACCCCACCAAAGCAGAGCCTTGAATCACAAAGTAAAGTGAACATCACTATCTATCCCGCAGGTACTGGACTGATCAATCAGGCCTACGCATTATTTCTTCCTCAGCAGGAGAATATAGGCAATTCACAGGTAATTGTAAAGCGCAGAAAGTTGCTGATCAAGGTAGATCACACACATTGAGACACGCTGGACCAGAAAGTAATGGGATATTTAACACACTTCTGGTGGTTGTAGATTAAGCTCTGAGTAAGTGACTGGCCGCAACAGGGCGACGGGCACTGTCAGGCGGTGAAGGAGAAGCTGTTTCTACTTGGGACCATCTGTAGCCTGATTGACAATGTCATCTCCAAATTTCTTCCTTGATAACCCGCAAGTCATGCTCTCGATGTTCCCGCACATAAAAGACATTATTCCTTCTTGACCAACCGTGTCAGTTCAATCAGTCATAGTTAGATCAGCGACTAGTCTCTATACAGGCGTCGCCATGTATAACGGCGTTGGTCGTTCTCTACTGAACATTGTCAGAAGGAGCAGGTTTTGAGATGATCAAAAAACACAACGATGATCCTGCCACAAGGATCAGCAACTCACCCTTTGCGGATCGCAAACAGACTGGTTTCACAAATGAACCACGGTGGATAACGCCGGTCACCTTGTTGGCATTCGGCTTGTGTTGTAACCTGCGTGGCCTGAAACTTGAGATACTCAAAAGATATGGGCCTAGACGGATTGCAAAACATTCAGCCGCTGACTTAGGAGCAGGTATTGGCGTGAGAGGGGCTTTATGCCACTAGTGAAATTGCGGGTGTCTATACATGGTGAAAGCTTTGCAACGGCGGCGACTGCTTTCATAAATTGGGTGCAGGGAAACATGACCTGAAAGGCAATCTAGTCACACAGGGGCGCGTGATACACCTCTTGTAATGCATGCTGAGGCCTCTGAGATCTAGGAGCTCTAGGAGCCATAAAACGTAACGTACAAAAAAGCAGGCATGTGGGCAGCTCGCCGCGCGTCTGACTTCATCCGACGGCCGTCTTGGAAAACAAACCAGGTAGTCACCCTGCCTACCCACCCCAATCTTTGTAAGGCAGTGTCGTGGTTCATGTCTCTGGGTCTTGATATGCTCAAAGTGTCTCTTTACGCAATCGTCGCTCAGGAACGCAGGGATGTAATCACTCTACGCAAGCGTGCGCGGGTGGAACTCGTGCACGAATTATAATTGGACAATCGTTCTTCCTCAGGGCAGTCGACTTTATGTCCCGCCACTCATGGCAGCTCAGTGTCAGCTTTAGGCGTCCCCCACTAGTGCTATGATGTCCAGCGTAGCGGTGCTCTGTACATCTTGTGAAGTGAGGGAGCATCACCAGCCCCATGAAAATTGACGCAAGACCTCAGACCATGCGAGCTGGTAACCGCTCATTCGGTGCTAAACCCTGGGCGGGAAACGCAAGCTCATGCGTGCCTTGGTGTCTGACAGAGCGTTTGGCGGAGAGTCCCGTCCGTGATTACACACGTCTGGGGCAAGAGAACAAAACCCGCAAGGTTATGTGGGAAATCCAGCGGAGCCTTTCTCCATTCATTTTGAAGCAATGGTGATGTAACGCACAGTCGCAAGCCAAGTCTGCGCGTACATGAGAAGAACAAATACGGCAAACGTAGGAGTTAAGGAGCGGCGCGGTACTACGCATGGTACATGGTAGTACGGAATGAAGACTCGAACGCGATTATTTCACAGCAACAACGACCGCACCGACCACATGATGTCACCCCTTGCAGGAAGGTTACGCATGATTCAGCCTCCTAGATGATTCAGCCTTCGTGTGCGATAGATGTCAGAGCTCGTCGCACCATTTAAGGGCTTGCGCCGGAGAGAGTGTACTTGGACAGGGCTCTTGTGATTGTCATTGAGAGCGTGGGCCAAGCAAAAATCTTCAGGGTTTTGTTAATGGATCGCGGCGTCGGCAAAGGGAGATCCATGATGGATTGACACAAGGGAGTTTTCTTTGCTACGGACGTCGGCTTGGCGCACTCGATGTTCCGTCTAATCTGGTTTTTCTCCTGCATATCAAACTCCTTGTTCACGAAGTACTCCAGGAGTCTGATGAAGTCATGGGAGGTGTAAAACCCTCTATCAATAGCCGCGCAGCGAATGCACGAAACGGTCACTCCGTTATAGGGGTCCTTGTTGTAATCGTCTTGCGAAATCAGATACGCAGAGATTCTGAGACCGTCTTCGGTTAGAACGCGGGTGAATCGAACCAGACCTCTGCAAAAACTCTGCCCTTCATCCGTGACCCATTCATCAAGGTTGTCAATGTGTGGGTCAACTGACACGGCGATGCAGCTGTCGCGCTCTTCCTTCTGATCAAGTCGACGAAGGACGTAAGTCGGGCTGCCTTCTGCGCTTGATCGAGGTGAGTGCACGACGTCGGTGGCCGTTCGAGGTGAGTGCACGACGTCGGTGGCCGTTTGAGGTGAGTGCACGACGCTGGTGGCCCTTTGAGGTGAGTGCACAACTTCGACGGCCGGTCGAGGTGAGTACACGACCTCGACGACTGGTCGAGGTGTGTGCACGACTGAAAGAGAGGCTGTAGCTTGATTCGCGCTCCGCAAAGGTGTTTTTTCGAGTCTGACGGGGTCTTCCGGAGAACTAGGCTGCGCCGGAGCTGGAGACAACGCAACGTGACGGTGATCCTGAGGCGAAGATCCATATGCAAAGGAAGATGTATAAGGGAGGTATTGAAACGTCTCCAAAGTCGTGCGGGTATTGGGAAGCACCACCAAGGACACTTCTACCCAAGTGGGACCCAGATAGGCCGGACCGAGATCTGGTGCAAAGCACGCAAATAGCCAAAGGTCATTTGCAATGAGGTGCGCAGTGCACTGGGCGGGGATGTTATTGAATTGGATCTGCAGTTGGACAGGCTGGGTGACGGGCGGGATGTAAATATACACGTTGACAGTGTCGCCAGCAGTGCCTTTGCAAGGCGTGAGCTTGACAAGCTTTAACTCGGATTGTGACATCTCAAGTACGTGCTGGATGGGGTGCATGTAGAGGACGACATGCGCTCATACATGCGATCAGATTATATATCTCAGACGGAGCCATTTATATGCTATGATTTCATTCGCTCTTCCTTTTCTCCCTACTTCAGTGACAGAGCGACATCATCATGCCTGAAGCACGGCCTGAATGCTCCCTCCGAAGCAAGCATTGAATGACTAATCCCGATGACCAACCTCACTTTACCCAAGGCCCTCGCAGCCATGAGTGAGGTGTGCTCTCCAAAAGTGAACTTGCCTTATTTTGGTAAAGCTGACTGATTGAAACCACACCCGCGCCTCGCTCTTCTCTTTACTGGTCGTCTGGGGCGCGTACTTGCAGTTTTTGTCTATCTTCTGGGGCTTGTGTTTGCGCGAGCAAATACTGTTATTCTCCATAACAAAGCCGTGTAGTAACGGTCGTTGTCCGTAGTGCACGCGCGCTGAGCACGTCTTAGTACCGCTGTGGAAAAGTTCCGGAAAGCTCCATAGTGCGTTCCTGGCTGCCCCATAATCGTGTTCATGCGCTTGCTTGTTCGTGTACGGGTGTTATTGTCTTTACATAGTCTGTGTACCAAATGTCTGCTCCTCTACCCACGAGCAACGTCGTAATATGATGGTATTGTGAAGCTCCTTTATCGGGATGGCTGGTGCTACACCGATGCAAGTTCTGCAGCCATGCAATGTAATAGACAATGACAATACCTAAAAATGACAGTGACCAGAGACCTGTAACGCTGACGTGCGGCCTTTCTGGCTTGCGTTTGGTCTTGGCTACCATGCAAGAGATGGATAGCAGAAACTCTGAGACATTGGTCGGTACGTGGTCCTATGTTTAGTCCGTGCAAATTATATCACTTCTTGCACTCAGCTCAAGGAGCAGCATGAGTAGTTGTTTCTACCCCTGAGTCCAACAAGCATGACGGTGGTAATGACAGCGACAGCGTCTCGTGTTTAAAGTTGTGTACTATGATCGGACTCTGGCGCAACTGTCTGGCTAACGCTAAGGGAACGACTTTGTGAGAGGGAAGATACCTCATGATATAGAATCGTCAGGGAGGGAGGGTCATGGCCGAGAAGCAGCCCAATGAGTCAGACGAGAGAGTCTTCGCTCACACGTTGAGATAAGAGCAGAAGCAGACTATTACCTCAGCCGTGCAGTGGTCACGCGACGCGTGTTCTTGCCGGTCGCTCAGAAGGTGGAGCTTTGGGCGCTCGCTTGGCGTAAGAGGTGCGATAGCAGCCGGTGGCGACACGTGTCAGTCTCAGAAAAGCTGGATACACAGACGGCAAGCCATTTCTGAGAGCCAACGCAGTGTCCCCAATCACAGCCAGGCACCTTCGCTTCATACGTGAGGTAGGAGAGCCTGCGCTGAGCTGGCGTAGTTCCGAAAGAAGCGCGGCTTAGCGTACGTATTGCAGTGCAAGTTCCCAGTGGCGGGCTCGCCGGGGTGCAATATCCACCTCTGTAAACTGCAACGCAGGCAAAGAGGATGGTCCGATCCTCAGGAACGACTCGGATATTTGCACGGCCTCCAGGAGTCTACTAGCTTGTCAATATGTGGAATAATGTTCGTACTATATATGTAGTATACTTCTCGTCAATCAGAGCAGTCGTCCAGGCCATGAAGGAAGACAACTGACATTGAAGTCTAATCCAATCCTAAGACCTGATCTGAAAGACCGCGACCAAGACCTTTTCCTTCATAGAATGTAGTGCTGATACAGAAGGCTCTCCTGGGTGCTCTCGAAGATAGCGCCAACATAGGTTCAGATTCATCTACACACAAGCTTGATTCCGTTCATGTAGATCTAGGATACGACGGCCTGCTTGCATCGCTTCCTGTCCCAGCCACAATGACACTCTGATACATTGGACGCAAGTTACATAGCCCCTTTCTCATCCAACTTTTGAAGCGGAGCCATCGAAGAGGAGCCACCGCTTGGTGACAGCACTGTCGCGACCGGCGCGCTAGCTGGCATAGGTGCCTGCACTTGCTGTTGGCTGTACGGAGTAGGGACAGGATTAGACGCGCACGGCTCAACAAATACATTTGCCGTGATTTCATACATATTGAATGGATGTAAAGGTGCGTGCACAAAATCGACACGGGTTAAGCAAATGTAGATCTAACCAGCCCAATCCCTCGAGATGTCGCCGTCCTTGCATGCCCGCCCGTATGCATAGTCTGGGGCTCGCGTATTCACAGACTGCACAAAGTACTGCAAACCAAGATGGATAGTTAGTACATTCTCCGTCAAGATCAGCGCCAACGCCAGCAGTATCGCGAGGACTTCGGCATGGTCGTTCCTCTGCGCGCCGAGAACACGCTGAGCGATGTTGTGTCAATTCTCGGGAACGGATAACATCTCAGCGCCAAATGACGCGCGCCAGTGGCCGGTGTTAAAGCCTGCGCCATCCGACTAGCACAGCAGTGTCATCGGCGCAAGTTGTCGCGGCGAGGCCGTATAGCGCCTGTAAGCGGTCTGCAAGCGTCGTGCGACGCGCGGCATCCACAAGGTTGATAGCGGGCATGTACTCGAATGGATGCTCGCTTATGTTGATACCGTCATCATCATCTCAATGAGCTTACGTCATGCGCGTCATTGCGGGCAAAGTCGACTTGCGGCTCGCATTATCACACCAAGGCCATTTTACCACAGCCTTACACCCAACGCGTTGAAGAGGTTGACAGCACTGTATTGCTTGTATCAGAGAGCATCCACAGGACTATGATGCAGCTACAAGAAGACCATCATACCTAATCTTGGCACCAGCCAATGTATCTCAAATCAAGATTGCGTCAGTAGGCAGCGATGATCTGATCCCGGTTCTCAAAAATGGCGAAGTTCAAAAATAGCGAAGATCGAGGACACCCCCCTCCGTCTGATTTGAGCCAATCAATTACACTTGGCGAGAGCGAGTTGACCTCAGTTCCGCAAAAGTGACTGGTACAACGTCAGTAGTAGGACGTGCGTAATACTATGGATCTAACCTGTCTCAGACAAATATGGGGCATGCAATCATGAGTCGCGGCCAAAACGTTGTCAAGCGCATTGTGTGTCCGTTACGTGCGGTTAAGTCTACGCCGACCTGAGCTTCAGCTCTACTTCCAAATCGCAGAAGAGCAGAGTGGACGTATGCGTAGTAGTGGTTGTAGTAGCTGGTCACCGTGATGTCCCGTAGCAGGACCGGCTGGTTTTCCAGATGCTTATCACACGCGATCGCAGCGTGCTGCCCGTCTACCCTGGAACACTCTAGGACCGCCTTCTTGCTTGTACCCGAGCCGTTCATACTGGTCGTGTGTACAGGCTTAACACCGTGCATTATGCTTGTGGCGCAAGGTAGCAACAGCGGCGTCATAGATGCGGGATACATTGTGAGAAAATCAGCATAACACATCCAGCACCATCTCACAACCTGGGAGCTCGCGTAACGACTGCACCATTTTCTCGTAGTCCCTCCGGCGGCACAGATTTTGGCCAGATATATGTGACTAAGACAACGGACGTGACCACTGACACCTCGCTGGATGCCTCGCAGAAACGGCCCCGGCAAAGATCTCTGGAAACTGCGCACTCGTTTCCTAAACTGGCATCTCCATGACGCAAGTGCTCTGAGGCCAGTAGGTAGTCAGTACTGACGACCAGCCGCGGAAGTGCCTTCAGTGCCTTCTGGTTGCGTACCTTGAGGTAGTTTCACAGCGTCATCAAGACCACGCGCATGGCGCGTTTTACTGCGGCTCCAGCCCATTAAGCAGCAGGTATATATAGACGAGTGGATGTGTTGATCTGTCTCTTGAGGTAGACTATCAGCAACTGGTGCACAACCTTGCTTGGCGCGTCCGCAGTTCCTTTCTTGGCCAATGTCGCGCGGTCTGGGGGCAACATATAAATTACCCGTCCGGAGGGAAACTCCCACATAGTACATGTCAAGGTACTCTTGAAGTGTTTTGAATGCCGGAATATCCGCCGGAAAAGCCTGTACGTTCCACAAGTACCGGGTCACAAGACTAATCCTTCGGTACCGCGTCAGCACGACCTTCATATCTGTATAGATTGGCGGTGCCCGTAGTGTGGTATTCGACACAAGCAAAGTAGAGTTCGCGCAGCATTTCTGGGGGAATGATGCCGACAACCGTGTTTGAAGAGGGGCTACCGTTGGTCACGGTACGCGTGCGCCTCGCGGCGGTGACGTAGTGCAGTGTGAGGA